AATTAAGATAAAAAAGAAATTAATGAAAATTAGAAGCAATTCAGTCAAAATTATTGACCTTTAAATTTTCTTTTTTTTTTTCAATAATAATATAGAAATTGGTAAAGAGAAGAAGAAAAAAGAATGAAGAAAAAACTGTTGCTTTTTTTTTTCCCCTATATATTTTGCTTCGAGTTTTTAAAAAATTGTTTAAGTTTGTTTTTGCCGCTATTTAACTTAACTTAAATTAAAACAGTAAAAACAAAAGTTTTGTTTACAAAAAAAAACGGGGTATCATTGTATTTTCAATTTTTTGACAATAATACTTAATGACTGTTGTTGGTGCCCCGTAACTGTAATAATCCATCATCTGATTGTATATTTTTTTTTTTTTAGAAGTCTGATGGCCAATCGAGGTTTAGAGAAGTGTCTGAAGGAAACCTAATGATAATAAAAACTGTCATCTTCTTCTCCACCAAATACTTCTTTTCTTTTTTTCTGTTTTGTTTTGTCCCATTCACCCCGTCCCTATTGCACCAAATGTGGAATGCAGTAATTTGGTGGAGGAAAAAAAAAATACTGTAGAAACCATTTCATCATTCTATTTTGGTTTTTCTTCGTCTTCAAATATTCGCAAAAAAATAATATAGACTAATCAAACAGATCTGATATACAACGTACTAATAAACAATTACCACCTTTTTTTTACCGCAGTCTTTTTTCCTCACTTCTAACTTCCATACCCAACAAATAAATATATAAGTAATTAGTCATCAAAAAAGTGGTTTCAAAAACAAATTTGTCAAGTTTTTTTCATTTGCTGCCAACTAAACTAATTGGTAATAAAATTTCATCATAAAACTAACCATCATCACCATCACCACCACCACTAACATCACCGCCAACAACAACAACAACCATAGTATCAGAACCAAATTTTTTTTTGCTTTTTTTTTGTGTAAAACATTCAGATAAGAATATTTTGTTGTAAAAGATGAAATAGTAATACAATGAAATCCTAAAACAATTTCTGTGAAATATGTACAAAGATATTTATCATTATTATTGACTTAAAACTACAAAATACCAAAAAAAAGAAAAAAATAACGGTGTATCCATCGTTGATGAGGAATTCTTCACACAGTTTTCCCATCGACAAACCGTATGTCAACTGAGAACAACAGTACAGAGAAGAAATCTTCTTTTTTTGTTTTTTGTTTCTCCCATTTCCTCCTTCTCCTTTTTCCTTTTCTTTTTACTTCATCTAAAGATCGTTGAAAGCGGTAGATAAACAAAATAATGATTCAAGTACCATTTTTACATCAATCTTAACTGCAGAATCAAAAATGAAAAAAAAAAAAAAAAAAA